GATAGTGAAATCGATAGTGGGATTGGTAGTGAGGTCGATTGAGTGAGAGCGATAGTGAGATCGATACCAGGATCGATAGTGAGATGGATAGTGATATCGATTGAGTGGGATCGATAGTGAAACCGATCGAGAGATCGATCGTGTGTTCGATAGTGGTATCGATGGAGATACCGATTGAGTGAAATCGATCGTGAGATCGATAGGGAGATTCATAGTAATCTCGATAGTGAGATCGATAGCGACATCGATGATGAGATCGATAGTGAGACCGTGAGTGAGAGCGATCGTGAGATCGATCGTGAAATTGTTCGTGAGGTCGATCATGAGATCGATCGTGAGATCGATGGTGATATGAATAGTGTGATCGACAGTGAGATCGATAGTGGGGTCGATAATGATTTCGAGAACGAGATCGGTAGTGAGATCGATAATGAGATCGATTGAATGAGATGGATGGTGAGATCGATAATGACATCGGTAGTGAGATCGACCGGGAACCCGCGAACGGGGGGCCCTAAAATTGGAACCCTGGGAACCCCGCCGCCCACCGAACCCTGCCGCCCACCGAAATCGGCCTGGAACCAGAGACCTGGAACCGGGGAACCTGGAACCGGGAACCTGGGAACCCAGCCGCACACTGAAATCGGCCCGGTACTTTCGCCTAATCTGTCAATATCCGCTAGGACCCCTTCAGTGCAAGCACTGGTTGGGGGGGGGAAAACCTGGCCAGAAACATTCTCGCAGATTCGGCTCAGCCCTTCATGCGGAATCGAGACCGCGACGCCATCGAGTCCAACCAGATCAGCGCAGGCGTTGCTCGGCGGTCCCTGATCGCAGCGGACGGCCGCCGAATGGCATTTGGAGACCCAAGCCGCTCCCAATGCCCCCCGCGTTCCTTCGCCCTCCTCCCGTCCCTCGGGCCACTTCCCCCACGCGCCCCCCCCCTTCCCCTCAGAAATCTGAAGGGGCACCAGGACACTCAAATAAATACACACATTCCCCATATTTTCCTATATTTTCTGGGTTCTTGTCTTCCCCACCACTTCCCATATTTGCCTATAATTTCTGGGGGATCGACGATTAATTGTGTCTGTGTGTGTTTTTTCCCCTCCTGAAGATCGACCTCCTGACGTCTGCAGGAACACGGTCTGACCGGAACGTGGAGACGGATGCTTCCATGGCGACGAGGGCGCCCATGGAGGATCAACAAAGCGCTAACACTTGTGGACTTCAGCTCAGACTTCCAGCCTCCAATCTCCAGCCTTCCATCTCCAAACCTGCGGCATCCAGCCTCCAATCTCCAGCCTCCAAACCTCCAACCTCCAGCCTCCAACCTCCCTCTGTCCTCTCCCCATCCTACCTACCTCCCTTATCCTCCAGCCACCAGCCTCCCACCTCCCCCTTCCCTCCGAGGCCCATAAGACCAAGGCCCACTACAACATGACGGATGTATATAACGGAGAGACCACGCTTGGGGAGAAGCGTGGGAACGACGCAACAGACGCATTTGCCATGCAGGACGGCAGCATGCACAGGCTGACATCTGAGCATTTCCACTTCTGGCGAGAGCCCACAGAGCTTTACCGAGAGGCTGCCCAGTGGACGGGTGAGGTTCACGCGTGGGTCTGGGACGTGGAGGTGGGGCGGGATCACGACGATCGGAGAGCTCTGGGAGGCGCACGGTGAGGCTGCGGACCCCCCCCCCCCGCGGCGCCTCCTCTAGAGCCTCCCGACTTGCCTGCTCTGTTCCTGGCCCGCCCTGCCGACGGGTGGGATGAGTACGCAGCTGTGGGCTACAACGTTAGCGGCCATCCTCTGCTATGCAGGAGGAGCTCGACCACAAGAAACCTTCCACAGGAAGCCCAACCCTGAGACCCCAGGACGTCCTGTGATGTGTGGTGTGGAAGCGTCACGCTCTCCACAGCAAAACCATCGAGACCCAAGAAACCCAGGGCACCCCACAGGCAAGCAGGGTGTCTCTTGGCATGGGCCTCCACTGTACGTTCGTGTCTCTGCGCGCGACGGGCGCGAAGGTGATCGATCGCTGCTTGTCTGTTGCGCCTGCGGTGCCCACTGCACTGGCTTCAAGCCGACGCGGGCCCTGCTGCGGCCGTCTTCGGGAAACTCTGGGCTCGGGATTCCAGGACCAGCTCCGTCGACTCCGAGCGAGGCAGCGGCCGCTGTGTAAGACAGGGGTGAAAGGATTAGTGTCGGACCTGCCTGTTGGCGTGCCGACGGACATTCGAGTAGGGGATCGACTACAGGATTGATTCGCCCCAGACACGATTTTCCCTCCGAAACTCAAGAAATACGTACGGAAAGGTTCCGTAGGTCTACGGAGCAGTCCGCGCAGTTTTCGTTAGAGCTGAGGCGCAAATCGGCTCTCTCTCTGGGGTAGATCGATTCTCCAGTCGAGCCCCTACCCGAGGCATGCGAGTGCGACCGGCTCGGGATGTTCACCCCCGAGGTGTCTGCTCGTGTTTGGCCGACCGAAAAGGGGGTCCAGCTGCAAGGGGATGGTGCAAGAGATTTGGGGCAATCGCGTTGCCCATGTACTGCGCCGGAGACTTGTATTGCATTGTACTGCGACAAATGCATTGCACGCGAAGGTCCAGCAATACACTTGAACACGTGTTGCACGCCCCAAATCTCGTGCAATTCCCCACAGATCTATTGCACCAACTCTGTTGCACCACCCCCTGGTCGCTGGACCCCCTTGTGGGTCAACCCGACAAGGACAAGGACAAGTCCAAGGCGCGGACATACGTCCCGGAGGACGGCCCACTAGGGGTTACGGCGGGGGCGCCGGAGCGCCGAGAGCTCAGTACCTGATGAACTTCTGGATTCGCCCAGGCGCGTGCCAGAGATCATACACCAGACGCGCCAGCTCCAAGAAAGAATCAGATTTCAATAATGGGTCTCCCGCTTCGTTGCAATATTCTTCCGAGGGATGTTCAACCGGCAACCCGCCCATTAGGGTACGCCCGACCCGACCCGACCCGACCGTTAGGGTTCTCGCGTGCCCTCTCGATTGTATGCACCACACTTTAGTGTCCTGGCCCGCCCGTTATGGTCTGCCCGACCCGACCCGACCCGACCCGCCCGAAAGGGTCCGCCCGACCCGACCCGACCCGACCGTGCTTAACCAGCCTCGAACGTATCCCTATCCCCAAGATGGGCGAGCAAAAAGCGAGGACAGGCTTGGGGACAGGCCCTCAAAACTGAGGGCAATCCTTAAGATCAGCATCGAGGTGAGGTGATGTCAAACATAGGGACAGGGGTACTCCAGATTTCGTGATAAAAGGGAGGGGGTCTCATTTCGGGGGGGTCTCTTCCAGGCTATCTTGGAGGGCCTGGGGTGGTCTGGGGACGATGCTTGGGAGGGTTCTCCCACGGGGGAGGTCTGAAATGGCTCGTCTTGGAGGGTCCAGACCCCGTCTCTTTTACGTACGAATTCTGGGGTATGCTCCAGGCTGGTAAGTGCTCAGCCCGAGGAACGCTCCGCCCGAGGGATGCTCAGCCCCCGAGGCGTCTGCCCGGGGGCGGCGGCCCCGCGGGGGGGCCCCCGCGGGGCGGGCCCCCGCGCTTGGCCCCGTGTGCTCCCCCCCCCCCCCCTCCCTGGCCCCCCTGCTGCTCCCCCGGGGGGGGGGGGGGGGGGGCCTCCGCACGGCCCCTGGGGTCAAGTCGGGCGTGTCCCCCATGTATATATATATATATATATGTATATGTGTATATATATATAGACATACACACACATTACACATCAAAAACCCACAGGTGCTAAAAAACACTTTGTCTCCGGACAAGTGCTTCTACTGTGTATGAGTTTTCTCATGTAGAGGGACAGGCCCGACTCAACCCTGGCGGGGGGGGGGGGGCCGCGGGCGGGGGCTTCGAGGTCGCTCCCCGACGACCTACCAAACCACCCCACCCCAACCCGAAGAACCGAACTTCGGGCTTGGCGGGGGGGGGGTACGGGCTCCAAGTGAGCGACGATCAAAGAGGGGCCTTACGCGAGCTGACAAGAAGCGACCTCACGCGGCGGCCTACGCGGGCCGCCGGCCGGGCAGCGTACGCGCCACCGCTGGAGCAGACGGCCATGTTTTTCCCCGTCGCCCACGCCCTTCCCCCTGGAAGTGGAGGGCGATTCGGGGCCTGCGGGTTGGGTTGGGGCGGTTTGGTGGGCGGTGACTCCCTGGGGCAGGGCCCAGGGCGCGCACCCTTCGGGCGTTTGTTGACCTCACGGAGGCCGACCTTCCCTAGGTGGAGGCACTGGGGAAGCGCCCCCTGCGTCTGACGCCTGAGTCTGTCTCATCGCATCATCTCACCCCGACACACATCCCGTGGGGGAGCACGACAATACCCGTACCGCTCCTCCACGGACCTCTCCATGGGTGAGGACGAGGAGAATACAGCCGTGGCGACGAGAGCTTTCCAGGACGAACAGCGGGATCGGCATTGTTTCGGGGTGAACCTTCGTGGACGCGTCCGCGGATGCTTCCTATCCTAGGGAGCCCACAAAGGACGTACGCGCCCAGCTATGTACATGAACACGGCCCCTCGATTCGCGAGACCGGCCGCGTTATACGAACATTTGTGCAGTGCGTGCTCTCGAAACCAGCGTGGATTCATGTACACGTACGTCCTTCTTTCGCTCCTGATATCCGTGGACCTCCACTCCGCGGCCCCTGTCATGAACGTGACTTCGTCCAGATTTCGACCGCCCCTCTTCACCCTTCCGTCCAGATGCCCACCACATCCGACGAGATCCCCAGGGCCGCAAGAGGGTCTGGGAACCTCCGAGGCTCCCGTGATGGAACACACACAAAGGATGGGCCCATGCTCCACCACCACTACCGTGCCAGATGTAGGACGGGGGAGACGGGAGGATGAGGAGGTCCTCCTCCTCCTCCTCCTCCTCCTCCTCCTCCTACCCATGGTAGTGGTGGTGGAAAGCTCCCGCTCCCCTCCCGCGAGCAGCGACGGCCCCGCCGCGAAGCCTGCCCGGGAGCGGCCTCGACCAGGGGGCCGCTGGGCAGCCTCCTGCGCCGCGCGGCTTGGCGGCCAGGCCCGGAGGGCGCCTCCCTCCCTCCCTCCCTCCTTGCCCTCCCTTTCCCTCCCTGCCTCCCCACACCCCATACCCTCCATACCCTCCCCTTGCCCATCCCCTCCCTCCCTCCCCTCCCTCCCTCCCTCCCCTCCGCTGGTCCCCCTCCCTCCCTCCTTCAATGTGCCTTCTCCCGGACTTGAAGCAAGGCAATGCAGGCCGGCATTGCCCGCGGACACAAGCGAAGAAGCTACGATTGGGAAGCCTGCAGTTCGGCAAAGACGACGGGCAGCGTGAACGAGAACTGACGGGAAACAGCGGGGAGACGTGAAGCACGGGCCGAAGGAGACGACTCTTCTCTCCTCCCCCCCCTGCTCCTTCTCACGCCCGCCCGCGCTGGCGGCAGTCAGATATCAACTAGATGCGTCCGAACATGCCCCGCGGGGCGTACGACGACCACACGACGCGGGGACGACGAGGTGAACGTCAGGGCGGCCACGACATGATCGAAGGAGCACGAGGCGACTCTTGTAGCAGGGCGGGCGACTAGCAATAGAGAGAGAGAGAGTGTACCGAACATGGACCTACTCCAACAACAATCATGTTAAAACTGTTCGCAATTCGTTTTGCTCGATATTCGCCCTCTTTGTCTTCGATCGTGCCCCCCCGTTAGCGCCGCCCCTGAAATATGAACAGGGGAGAAGGAACGGCAAGAGAGCGAGGAAAGAAGGAGGCAACGAGAAGGGAGGGGGCCGAGAGGAGGGAGTGAGGAGGGTCGAGGGCGAAGAAAATTCAGCAGGAGGGAAGGAATACGGAGCAATTGCTGTGGCATGCGGATTCTGACGGTCGAGTCGGGCGGGCCGGCCCTAACTGGCGGGTCGGGCGGGCGGATCCTAACGGGCGGGTCGGGCGGGCGGGGCATTGAAGCTGGCGGGAGGGCTTCCAAGCACGCGGATGGGCGGACCCTGAACAAGTATGATAAAAAAACAAGTGTGATAAAACACACGTGTAATACAACACATGTGATAAAGAGTGATCAAAACAAGTGTGCGATAAAAAGTGTGACAAAAACAGGTGTGATAACAGAACACGTGTGATAAATAACAAGTGTTTTTTTGTTACACTTGTTTTTTATCACACTTGTTCGGGGCAGGTCGGGACGGCGGACTCTAGCGGGTCGGGCGGGCGGACCCCATCGGGCGGGTCGAGCGGGATACCGAAGCAGGCGGGCGGGCTTCCAAGCGGGCGACCGGGCGGCGCCTGACGCGCGCGTCGGGCGGGCGGACTCCAGCAGCGGGACGGACCGGCGGGGTATGGAAGCGAAATTCAACAATACAAAAAAAAGTGAAGGAAGGAAGAGGAAGGGAGAAAAGAGAGGAAATAATATAATCGCAAGCCGCTGAGCGTGATTCTAAATCAGGACCCAAAAAACGAGAAAAACCCTGGACTCGGGCAAAACACCGCGGGGCAGAAATGAGTGGTGCACTGCGTACGGAAAGCGCGAGACGCAGAGCCCTCCCAGGACCAAATAAGCACAAGAAATCAAACTACGGCAAGTTCGTGTCGTGACGACCCTGGCGTTTGTTTCTGACACCGCGCGGATCGTTCAACCTTGAACGACCGGCGGCTTTTCGGAGTGTTCGATCGCCCAATCCTTCCATGTAAGTAGGCCGATTCTGGGCCACGAGCGGCGTTCAACCCTGAACGCCCGCGGCGGGGCCGCCGACGGTCGACACGACGCGAACCTGCCGCACTTGCTGCGGGCAATACTTCTGTCCATGTCCACTGCGATATGGAGTTGCGGGTTCCCTTCCCCAGAAACCAGAGGCGCGCTGGATATGGATACATTTGCCCCCTAGAGGCTCGATGTTCATCCATAACTATCCAGTGCGCCTCGGCCTTGTGACGCTCCTTCCCCAAAAAATCCAAGACGCACTGGATATGGATACGAACCTTGCCCGCACTTGAAACTGCACTCCGCTGGAGGGCGGACAGACCAAATTGGAGCGCGGTCACACCCGAGCTCCGGGGGCGCAGGCAAGCCGGCATACGGTGCGGGCGCGGCCGCCAGAAACCCTCGCAGGAAACCCAGCCCCGCGAACCCGAGCGCGAGGTGCACCGAAGGGGAAACCTGGAGCACCCTGAACGCAGCAGCTCCTGCAACGGCTGCGGGAAGTCCCCGCGCAGCGCGAGGAGCGAAGAGGCCCAGGATACCCTGACGAAAAGCACATGGCAGCTTGATGCGCGCCCCCACTGTAGTAAAACAGGGCTAGGATCGGGATATATCGCTCCATAGCGTTCCGGAGCGCTCTCAGAGCGTTCCGGAACGCTCTGGAGCGGCCGCGGCGCCCAATACATCCTCCAAACCCGCCGATTCTCAGAGATTTCGAGTTATCCCGATCCGATTTTGTCCCGATCTTCGCGTCGTTTTACTGTAGGCGTGGGGCCTCCACACACCGAGCCGCTCAACACCGGTCCTGAGGCCGCGCACCTGCGGTGGCTTACGCACGGCATATGCTCGTGTGGTGCCGACTTCGCGCTGGTCCTCGGCGAGGAGGCACGCATCACTGACTCTGCTGGGGGTGTGGCCCCACGTTGGCCTCCTTCTGAGGGGGGGGGGCGCCAGTTTCGTACCCCGCCTTCCTTGATCGATTTCCTCCCAAATGGCTTCAATGTGGCCCCCAGAGCTCCCAAGAGGGCCCCAAGAGGCCCAACAAGAGGCCCCCGAGAGGCCCCCGAGAGAGGCCACAAGAGGCTCCACAGAGGCACCCCAGACGCTCCAAGAGGCCCCTGGGACCGCCAAGAGGCCTCCAAGACGCCCTAAGAGAACTCCAAGAAACTGCCTAGATACATCCGAAGAGACTCCGAGACGTATCCAAGATGCGTCTTGCCTTGCTGATCCCCCCCTCCTTTTCCTCCTCCTCCTCCTTTTCCTCATTTGCCGGTTTCCCCTCCTCCTGCCTCCTTTTCCTCATTTGCCGGTTTCCACTCCTCCTGCCTCCTCCTCCTACTCCCCCTTCCCGTCCTCGTCCTCGTCCTCGTCCTGCTCCTCCTCCTCCTGCTCCTCCTCCTCCTCCTCCTCCTCTTCCTCCTCCGATTTCTCATCCGGCTTTTCCCTCCTGCGGTAGAAAGTTCTCCCAAGCCCTTTATTCCACTGCGTGCTCATCCACACAACTATCAAAACAACTCGCCTTGGCATCGTTTCTGCATGGAGTGGTGGAGTTACGAAGTTTCCAGAATAGTGCGTGACTTCCCCCCCGCCCCCTGGTGCGCCTCTGGGAGTGCGCCTCGAAGTCGTGATGGCGAGATCGAAAGCACTCGCGGACGCCACCGCCAACCGCCTCGACCGCGTCCGGGCAATCCTGGCGCGGTTTCGGGCTCTCTTGTCCTCCTCCTCCTCATCCGCCTCCTCCTCCTCGTCCCCCTCCTCCTTTTCCTCATCCTCTCCTCCTCCTCCTCCTCCTCCTCATCCTCCTCCTCCTCCTGTCTCCTCCTCCTCCTCCTCCTCCTCCTCCTTCTCCTCCCTCCTCCTCTCTCGTCCTCCTCCTCCTCCTCCTCCTCCTCCTCCTCCTCCTCCTCCTCCTCCTCCTCCTCCTCCTCCTCCTCCTCCTCCTCCTCCTCCTCCTCCTCCTCCTCCTCCTCCTCCTCCTCCTCCTCCTCCTCCTCCTCCTCCTCCTCCTCCCCCTCCTTTTCCGTCGGAGGGAAGACCAGGATGAGAGGCACATACACATTCACAGCCGACGCGACCCAGCTGCCCAAAGAGGCCCTAAGCCGCCCTCCGCATTCCCTCCCTCCCTCCTTGCCGCTCCTCCATAACCACTTCCTGTTCCCCCCCCTCTCCCCTGCTTCCCCTGTCCATCCTCCTCCCCCCTCCCCCCCCACCCCCCCGCGACCGCCACCCCCCTTGCCCAGCAGCGTCCCCCCGTCCTCTCGTTACTCCCCCCACCCGCCCCAGGTCGCCCCTCCATCTCGTTCCCCCTTCTCTCAATCCCTCGTGGCTGCCACTTCCTAGCAAGCTTCCTGGCTGCACCGGGTGGGGCCCAACGGCGAAAGGTAACATGCACGAGCTTCCTTGCTCGAGCACGCGGGGGCCGACGCGCGGCCCTCGTCGTCGCGCAGGGGCACCGCTCAGCGTGATTCCACGGGGCCCCGCGCGGCGCGCATGGACGCCTGGCGCCCCGATTGCAATCCAATGGCAGCGACAAAACCAGCGAAACCAAACATCATAATATACCGCACAAGCAACTCGCATCCCGCCATAAAAACCAGGCGCGGCAATATACGTCGGCGAGCGAAGCTTGGCCATGGCACAAGGGGCGCCCGCCCCGACCAGCTGGGCGCCAAGGCCAACGTCGTCCCGAACCGAGCAAAGAACGCCCGAGCGCCCCCCGCGCGCGCCGCGCGCGACTCGGGCGTCGAGGCGCGGAAGCGTAACCCCAGGACTGAACCCTCGCGCTGCAAGGGAGGCCATAGCACAGATTAGCAAAGCCACTTCCCCATTTAGCGTTCATCGCCATGGCCCAGAACGCGGCGCGAGAAGCGCGGCCAGTTACAGCAGCCCCCACGAGGCCAGCTCTCGCGACCACGCCCAAAAGTCTTCCCACTGGAGAATCGGAGCCGTTTGGGGGGGTCGCCGGGCGGCGGCCGCCGCGGCGCCCCTGCGGGACAGCCGCGAGGTAGCGAGCTCCAGGACCACGGAGCGGCCGATCTCCAGGAGCAGCTACATGAGCATAGAAAGAAGAGGGCATGGAGCGAGAATGGCACATGGGACTTTCGTGTCTTCCAGCGCGGCGGCTACTGGGCGCGCGCATCCAACGGGCGGGCCCGCGGCCTGACCCCGGGCCCTGCTCGCGGGGGCGCCAGTGAGAACCGGCGCGGTCGACGGGGCCCCCCCGCGCCAGCGCGGCAATTCTTCTGCCGAGTGCACCGCGGAAAGCGCGGTTTCCAACGCGCGCCGGCCCGCATAGCCGCCCATAACGACAACGCAAAATGCCTTGCCCACGCGGTCGGCACAGGCATTGCCTCGGAACCGCTCGCGAGAAACATGTTGATCAGGGGCTTCCAGCCCACCGATCCATGAGCGGAACACAAGAGCATGCACCGCGCGTCATTTCCATCCCGCGGCTATCGCGATTCGTGCACGAAACGCGCACTAATCGCGCGCGACTCGCACATTTCTCGCGCGCTCGTCGCAGGCCGGGCGGGCGCGCTGAAAGCGCGCAGAGTGATGTGCCAATTTTCATTGATTTACCTGAATGATACAGACTAGTTGCATTGGACCTTCAACTCAATCTCCAGCGTGTCGAAACTAATGCCAGGCGGGGCGTCCCGCCGAAATTGGCGCCAAACCTCCGCTCCCCTAAAGTGTCAACTCGGTGCGTCGCTCAGCGGGGCGCCCTGGGGCAGCGCTGGGGGGGCGGTCAGAACGGCCGCTCCCTGGTGGCCCGCGGGCGGACTGGCCTGGGCCCCCCTCAGCACCACCTCCTCAATAGGGACGGACCAGCCTGGCCCCCCTGCGGGGCTCGCGAGGGCGGGGCCCCCTCGTCGCAGGGCCGCGAGGGGCCTGGCGGAATCCAACGGAGAAGATCCGCGGGAGCCTCGGGGTGCTTCTGGGCGACCTTTGGGGGGCCTCAAGGAAGCTTCGGGGAGCTCTGGAAAAGGCTGCCGAGGCGCAGACATCTACACTACTCGGCTCTACACCACCCTCTCTACCGCGCTCTACGCTGCCCCGCGTCGCGCAGCGCTGCTCCTCCACCTCCCCTGCCCTACTCCACTTGGATATGTGTCTTCCGCCGCAATCGACTTCCCAGCTCCACTTCGCCCTGCTCGACGCCACTCAGCTCGGCGCCCTGCTCTGCTCGGCCATGGTCAACCCTGCGTTCTGCGACTCCTACTCTACGCTACTCTACTCAACGCTACACCTATTATGCTTTGCACCACTCTACTGTGCTCTTCTCTATCCTGCTCTGCCCTACCCTACCGAGACCCCATTGTACTCCTGAGTTGGAACTCGGCCCCGCGATGGTCGGGGCGCCGGCGGGGCGGCTGGGGGGGGCGCTGCACTTGCAGAGGGGGCCGCTAAACTAGCAGAAGAGGTGGCTGAAATGCCAAAGAAAGCCATTGCAATTGTCTCGGGTAACATAAAGGAGCGCGGGTCTCAGTGGACCAGTCAAACTCTTTTGGCGCTGGGCCCAGAGCCCCGGCCCCTGCGGGCTGGGACAAGACGGCCGCTCGCGCAGTAGTTGCGGCCGCAATGGTGGCAGTTGCAACGACAGAAGCTGCGAGAACGCGGGTAGAGGTGGAAGTAGCAGCGCTAGTAATAAGATTCGTCGTCGAGCGAATGATGCTTGCGATGGTAGTGGAGTTGATGGTAGCGGACTAAGAGTAGTTGCGCTGGTAGTCAGTCCTGGAAGGACAGCAGTATCATCAGTAACACCATTGCGAAAACACGCACCAGGACGAACAGTTCCAGAAGCACGAGCGGTCCTAGAACAAGCGGGACAATAGCAGCGGCAGTGGCAGAACGGCATCACCGAGTAGCAATGGCAATGCGACGGGAGCTAGGAGCACGGGCACAACCTACCTGCAATGGTAGCAGTAGCGTTAAGACAAGGAGGGAAGAAAGGCAAGCCGTGGTTGCAGGAAAGTAGTGGTGGAGCAAGTGCGACTGTACAGTATACTTGAGAATCGCGCACATAACAACTGCTATGGAAGAACGACAACGTGAAATAGTGTAAGTGCGGAACTGGCCATGACAAGAATAGAAATAGCCCGCGCGGCACTTGGAAACAAATCCAGGCTCTCGCCATCGCGCTCTGCGACGCACTCTCCAGAGGAAAAAATGCAAGAGGGCCTTTGTGATTGCCGCGCAAAGCGGCAGGTTGAATCTCCGGGCCCTTCCTCCGCGCCCACCTGGGGAGGCGCCAACGCTGCCTCCGAACGGCCCCAAGGATCCGGGCCCGACTTGGAGCCGCCTGGCGCCGAGATCAGCGCCAGACTGCGCCGGGCAATCTCAACTGGCTACGGCTAGGCTCGAGCCAGATCGCAGCGGGCGCGGGCCTCGACGGCCCGCGCCCCCGAGGGCCGTGGGAAGGGCCCGGAGAGCCAGACCTGGCAGTCGAGAAAAGGCAACCGACCACATTGGCCACGCCGCCCAGCAGGTTAGCGGGCCAACGCCCGCGCTGCTTGAAACCGGCGGCGCGCGTCGCACCGCGTGAAACTTGCTGACCGGCAAATGGGCCAGCACTCAGCCGCCGCCGCTGAAAGCCGGCAGAGAGAGAGAGAGAGATAGAGAGCAAAAAAAGGGGGGAAGGGAGAAAGAGAGAGAGAGAGAGAGCGAGAGAGAGAGAGGGAACAACTATATGAAAACTATATATAAATATATGTATACATACATACATACATACATCCATACATACATACATACATGCATACATGCATACATACATACATACATACATACATGCATGCATACATACATACATACATACACCTACCTACCTACCTACCTACCTACATGCATACATACATACATACACATACACACATACACACATACACACATACACACATACACACATACACACATACACACATACACACATACACACATACACACATACACACACACACACACGCATACACGCATACATACATACATACATACATACATACATACATGCATGCATGCATGCATGCATGCATGCATGCATGCATGCATACATACATACATACATACATACATGCATGCATGCATGCATGCATACATACATACATACATACAAATGCATATTTTATATAATAATGCGAGAGGGGGAAGGGGGGGGGCCGCCGCCGCCGCCATCGCTGGACTGGACCAGGAATCCCTCCAGGGCGACCATGCTCTGGGACTGCGAAAGCTCTTTTCGGGGGCTGCCGGGGAACGACGCCGATGACTGGGGCCCTGTGTCGGCCCAGCGACCCCAGAGCCACCGCCAATCAAAACCAGCCGCCCGCTGGCCACAAGGTCGAAAAGAACGGCGTTACATTGAACGACATCATCTTCAATGAGCGAATCTACGGGCGCGCGACCGCGTTGAATGCACCCAACCCGTCCTTGTGTCGTTTCCAGCGCCTGGCAGATGACGGCGAGGTCTGCGGCGGATCGGCGATCCTCGGCCCTCGCGGCCCCTTCGACGACCATTGCATCGTAGACCGACATGGCGTCGACAGCGCGGAATTGCCCCTCGCGGGGGCCCAGGCGCAAGCTGCGACGGGGCACTGTGGATCACGAGCCGGTCGGAAAGTTCGACGCGGATCACGAGCCGTCGGTCGCATCTTGAACAGCGACGTCGATGTACAAGATCTGCAGGTACTCCGCGTC